ACGTTATACAGGACCTACTGTAGTTGTCGTGTTTAATATTGACATTTGCCTTAATGTGAAGGGGGAAAATAGCCATTTTCCAGTATTTCCGGCATGGCAATCCTTGACTAATTCAACATGAAATATTGAACAATTTGTCATTGGAAAACACGTGTTTTTTTACACGTGTTAGTGACGCTGTCCTGAGGAAGAATACAAGTCATGGTGCAATGCCACAAAATTGTCACTAGAGGCCACTACAAACCCAACACCATACGGAACGTGAAAAAAATGCTGTAAAAATAATGGTTAAAGTTTCAATAGTTCCAGAGAAACATCCTAAAATTCTCATGCTTAAGTTGCAGGGTAGGGGAATCGGGACGTACGACAAACCAGCAGTGCAATGGAAGATGAACTGAAGACGTTCAGTAATTATGAGTGGTATAGAAGCAACTGTAATAAAATGTTTTGAATTTGAACCATCGTTATTTGACGTATTATCTTGAGGTATTATGTATTTATCTTCTCTGAAGTACAGAGGTAAACTGTTTTTTTTAATGGGTGGGAAGTTCTGAGAGGAACTGAGAGCAGAGAGAGAAGGGTTACCACTTAAGGTGCCTGGCGGGCTGTAGCATTGAACTTCAATGTACTTATTCAAGATTGAAGTATAATGGGTAAAATTCAAACTATCAATCAAATATTGTCATGACCAGAATGGGGCGATATACAATGACAGGGGTTCTAAGGAGAGCAACGTTCCTCTCACCCACAGCACCACGCCCATCGGACTCCACCGGACTCCACCCAGTCTTCCTTAACTGCTGGTCTATACTGCTTTACTGTAAGTGCTGGTTGACCATGAACCGAAAATCCATGTCCAGCCCTTTAAAGGGAATTGTTGGCTACCCTTTCCAGTACAGTCAGTCAAATCCACTTCTCTGACTCAGGCTGGTCATACCTGAATGCTCACATTCAGGAGATGCCTGTTACTGGTGGGACAGGCTCTGGTACACGCCTGCCCTTTGGTACACGGGGGGGGGCACCACAGCACTATATAGCGGAAATAAACTGGCAGCAAGCATACTTCTCTAAATGGCGTCTTGATTATCAGTGTTATCATGATACACATATTGGAGCAGCAGGCACTGAGGTCCAGGGGCGGGGCCACAGGCCGGAGTTGAAAGCTGATTGGCCCCTGGAGTGCCCAGTCCTCTGTCACTCACCAATTCAAAACATACCATTCGTTAATAATAAGGTCAGCCCAGCTGTATGAATGATGGTCCCTCTTATGCCCCCAACCTAAAAAAAAAATCCTAGAATCTTGTGAAGGTTGGGGGTGGGGGGAATTCAGCTCAAAAGGATGTCTTGGAGAAATGATAAAGACGCACTTAAAGAATTTTACCTGCTTTATTGAGAAAAGTCACCTTAAATATCCACATCATTAAAACGTTAACAACATACTTCTTGGATTATTTGATACAAAATGCACAGATGCGCTGCTTTGTTCAAACGGTGAGATGTCTTATTACTGCTCATGCTTAGGGGACAGATATTAGAATCCATTTTGCAAAGTTACATCTGTAAACATTACATCATCCTGTATCTAAATGATGTCACAGCCTTGTTAAGTCTCATTTGAATTTCTCGGATATGGACGTGCCAGTTATCACAGACTGATGCATTTGGATCAGAATGCGACGAGCTCGCAGGGTGACTGACGCCCCACGCTGTCCTCTTCTCAGCTAGACAAAGCGAAGCATCTGAACATATTCAAAACTGTACATTTTCTACCAAGCCGGCAAAGACTGCTGGCAACTTTACATCCGTTTGGAAATGTGCAACGTCTAGAAGCCGCAGTACGTGTCAAGTTGCAATTGATAACGGATGGTCCTTGAAGTTGATGGCCTTGACTACACCTACAGCTCAAATAATCAAACGTGTTGAATTACCAACTGGATAAACAAACAACAGCATTGCGCTTATTGCATGGAACGCAAGCAGAAGACTGGTATCCAGTCCGCAGGATAGATGAATCTGTAAAGCCAAAAGGTACAGATCATCCTGGTGTACTTCCTCATCTTACAATCAGCATAGAGACTGCCCCCTGTAGGCAGATCAAATTAAAACTCTTAGATGAAAATTAAGTGAAACCAAGTGGAATGATTGCATGTTGTCAACCGGTTTTAAATTATAATAACCGTTTCCATTGTTCAACAGATGAGGCACTGTGTGAAACAAAGACCTTGTGTGGCTATGCTATTTTTACTTTTAAATGCCTTTTACACAATAAATACAAACATCTACAAATTTTAATTATTTTCTACAAATGCATAAATATGTCTCACGTGTTTAAGTGATGATAGTTTCCTAAAATGGAATCACTTTGTTTTTCAAACGTTCATCATCCTGGAACTGTGTGTCACAGAATCAGTAACGTGTTCTAGGAAAAATAGAACAACGATAAATATTCTGCTATCGCTTCCGGTTGGACTGGACCACTTTTTTCTCCACAAGGGGAGGACATCCAGATGAAGGTGGTTCACAGAACCACACCCATGTTGTCACAGGTTAGCATCTCCCCCCCACTCATGGTTCCTATGTGCTGGTGAAACGAGCCCAGCCTGTGAGTCCTCTGGCACCGAATTCCACTTAGCGTTAAGCTCCTGAGGCTTGGCAAGTGCTTCAAGATGTCCTCAGGCAAAGTGGTCACTCCAGAGTTGGACAGGTTGAGCTCCTGCAAAGAGACCAGGTCTACAAGAACCTCGGGGTCCAGAGACCCGAGCCTGGTGTTGTTGGACAGGTCAAGGACCTGCAGGCTTCTGAGGTCCTCGAAGCTGTGGGGATGCAAGACGAACAATGCAGGGAGTCCAGCGAGGGACAGGTGGACCAGGTCTGTGAGCCCGCTGAAGGAGCCCCGGGAGATGGCGGAGATCGGGTTGCCATCCAGGTTCAAGTATCGGAGCGGGACGCCATGGAGACTGGGCACAGACGTCAGGTGGTTCCTCGCCAGGCTCAGGGTCTGCAGGTTGGGAGGGGCAGCCCGCGGATCCCGGGTGACGGTGGTCAGTAGGTTGTCCGAGATGTCCACGTTGACGGGCCGGCCGTGGGCGCCAGTGGCCAAGGCGCCGAGCTGCAGCTTCCGAAGGCGGTTGTGGCTCAGGTCCACGTCGGCCAAGGGGAGCCTGGTGAGCCAGCCCTCCTCCAGCTCCTCCAGCCCGTTGTGGCTCAGGTCTAGGCTCTCCAGGTACCGCAGCTGGGCGAAGGCCCCATAGTCCACCTCTGAGATGCGATTGTGGCTCAGGTCCAGACCCACCAGGGTGGTATAGCCAGGTCCTCTCAGCATGGAGCCGTGGACGGTACGCAGGGAGCCCGAGGACAGGTCCAGGTAAGCCGTGTCCAGGGGGATAGGAAGAGGGCCAGTACCTAGCTTCACACCACTGCAGTCCACCTTGGTCAGGCTGAAGCTGCTGAATAGGCCATAGCTCTCCACCACACAATGACACCCGGGGTGGCAGTTCTTCACTGCTGCCACAAGGGGGAGCAGCGACAGAATAAGGTTGAGACTTGGAAAAGCAGCCATGGTACTCTGGGCAAAGAAAATAAATATACACACACACAAAAATTACATCACACCGACACGCTTATCAAGAACCAACACATGAGCTGACTGATAAAACAGGGACCAATTGCATGCTGTCACACAATCACGTTGCATAACGTCTATATGAGGTCAGTGTAGTTCCCCAAGGACAAGGTGGCAAGCAGAGATTCTGCATCAACTATCTTACCAAAGAACAATCGCCACACAATTTCTGACCTGCTGCTCCCCACCACTTGGGGGTGATGTGCCTCACAACACAAATCTTGTTTGACACAGACACAAACAGTAACCATTTGTAGCACGGTCTGTCCCAGCTCAGGGTGGTCAGTGGAGTAAAGGACAAATACTCTGGGCAGTATGCTATTCTGCTTGGGGGGGCGGATACTGGTGCAATAGCTTAACTGGGCATGAATTTCAGCCCCACAGGAGACCAGAGGACCGTCTCTGGTGGAGGAAACGCCTGCACTTTGATACCCACAGAGCGTGCTGGTATTAATAATCGGAATATAAAGCAATTGAGCATCTCAGGTTTCCTTCGACTATTAATGGAAGCGTTTTCTGAAACCTGCTGAACCATCCACAACCCAGAGACCACATGAAACATCTAAGAACCAAGAGCAGCGAAGAACATACACAAACGAGCACCAGGCACATGTGTGCCCCAGATCAGCACCACCGGATGGAGCCACTCGAATCAACATTCCAGTAGTCGGACTTTTGTAAAATTATTTCATAGGTCAGAGCAAAAACTATATCTGACAACACATTTAATTCACAGCGTAGTCTAAATCTCTCTCCTAAAATTACACATGGTTAACTGCATGCAGGGAAGTTTTTTTAACATATGATTTGTCATTAAAATTAAGAAATCAAAGTCCTGGAGCCTGTATCACAATCTAAACAGCACAATTCATGCAAAATAATTCAAATGAAAGGTAGAACATAACCGAAGTCCCATATTTTACACTATAACAAACTGCTGTAACTTCTACAATAAAATTCAACAAATGACCGTTTTATTATTTCGCAATCGGTAAGTGTATTTTCAATGCATTAGGGGTCATAAATTACACAGTGCACAGTAACCCATTCTAAGCAAAGTTAGGTTCAGACCCCGTGAATGCGACTTACAGAGGAGGGCGCCGCTATTCCACCTGCAGGACGGTTCTTCGCAGTACAGCCTCCCCCGGCGTCTGAACCAAGCAGCAAGTAGCCAGAGCATTTATACCGCAAAAAAAGACAAACAAAGAGTGGAGGGGAGGGAGCGCAAGCCGTGGGATGTTCCGCGTTTCGGGGACAAATGGTTCAGGCTGCATGCAGGCATGACTGAGCATAAACCGGATCATAAAGTTAATCTACACGAGCAGTAGGTGAAAGTGTGGTAATTACACAGCTCGTGTTACCCGCGTTTTATGGTCGTTTACGTAACGATCTCTCCCGCACTGCGTATGACAACCATGAATCTGCGGTGATATTATAGATCCTAATTGAACTGGCATAGAGGGGCTCCACAGATGCACGTGAGGGTCACCCCCCCTCACAGAGCCGTGAGACTACCCACCAGTCACCATTGCATCCTAATTGCCCCCACTCCCATAAATATGATTTAGCAGCAGCCCCTGAAATACCGGCCAGGATAAATAAATAAAAAAAACCAAAAAAACCCAGCTTATTTCCCAAAAAAAGTTCCAGTAAATCCGAAACTTCTAAACTTTGCTGAATTTGCCAGACACAGTCCGATTGAACAAGCTGCTTTTGCTTGACCCCTTAATAAAACGCTGTTTATGATAGGCCTTGTCAGTGCGAAACTTTAATATCTTTATACAACCCTTGTCCCGTTTGGCGACTTCTATCCCCGAACTGTAAATGCATATTCGATGAAGACAGCATAAATCATGTGCGGCGTAAAATGTTTTTCTTTTTTATAAGCATTTAATGAATCCATGGCAAGCCGAGACAAAAGAAACGGAATGAGACGATCCAACTTCAAAGTGAAATGAGATCCTATGCTGTTACAATCTTCTTGTGTTTATACGGGCGTGTCCCCGTATCCGGCGTAAACACGGCGTGCTCCGACACATTGTCTATGTATAGATGCAGATCAATTAACTACAGACTTCTTTTAAGTCATTCACTCATTCACCACACCTCTCCCGATTCAGCCCCAGAGGCTCACACCTCCACATTTGTCTCTGGCCGTTTGACGCTCGTCTGGTCTCTCAGAGAAGGGTCCCGACATCAATGAAGCGATAAGCTGCGAGAATGGACTGTCCCTACATATCGATACAGGCATGCTCCAAACAACACTGATAATTACCAACATGTATAATAAGAGCAAGGGACACGCTGTACATGCACAATGAACGACCAATACGGAGACTACTTTCCTAAACTAGTGCAGTAGATTACAAACCATGCCGCTTACGCCAAAACTTAGTTAGCCTGCACCTCATCACGCATGCATGCTAAGTGCGTTTACGCATGACTTCGAAACATCCATGCACGGCGCTGGGACTCCGGACAGGATGCTGGCTGTACACTCACCTGCTAAAGCGGGATGATGGTGCTTCAGATGGAGACTGACGCAAACACTGAGTCCCTTTTGCCTTGAGCAGGCAACGCGGTGCAGCACTTCGGCATTGGTGCGATCCGCTTCTCCAGCGCTGACTATCAGCGGCGATCTTAACAGGCCACGTGGGTTACTTACTTTTTTTTTAAAAAAAAATCTCGCAAAACTGAGATAACCTGTAACTGCACTATACATGCGTGGCGCCGGCTTTCTTAACTCACCGAAAGCTGCTCCCCTGTTGCCGGATCGCCCCCTTCCTCTCTGAAGCCACCTCCAGCATTTCTAAAGGACCCCGCCCAGCCTCTCCGGATTTATGAAATTTAATTTCCTTGACGCCTACTCGAAGAATAAACGGTAGGCTACTCCTGCGCTTCTATGTAGAAACATGGACTCCTGGGGCCGGTGGTTTACAGTCGGTGACAAACGAAAAAAAAACATATTAGGAGTATAACCAGGAGAGTTTCTAGCTATTGAAAAGTTCAGGGGCTAAATCAAGTTGACCTTTTTTTGGAGGAGGGAAGGAAGATTATTGGCATCGGGGCTAGAATATTCGGGGATTTATCTCAGAGTGGTCGGACCTAAGGACGCCCATGAGACTATAACCAGGGGTGGAGATTTCAGGTCCACAGAGTAGAAATCCAGACCAAGATTTTAGTTCAACCAACCAGTTGAGTATAAAGAGTCATAGTCACAGAGTACTCAACTGGTTGGTTGAACCAAAATCTCGGTCTGGATTTCTGCTCTCTGGACCATAACATATGCTCCTATACACAGTGGTCTTAAGTTTTCATCATTCCCCATTAGACTTACAGGAACCTCTACAGTTGCGTTTGTGCTGGTAAAAATGCAAACATAAATAAACCTGACACTTTTAGGCACAAACTTTTAGCACTTAGTTATCAGTGTTAAATAGTCACAGAAGAAATAAGGTAGGTTGGTTAAGTGTGACCAGCAGCAGACTGCTTTGTTTAATTTTCTTTTGTGGAGCGAAACACTGCGATCCACGCTTTCAGGGGTCCAGGTGTTGTGCCGAATTCTGCATGAGCTGCACACCAGCGAAGACTTGGTCCATGTGTCCCCGACAGCGTTAACCGCTTCTTCTCGCCTAGGTCAGCTAAAAGTAGTCCAGGGTGCGATGGGACATCAAACTGTGCACCTAGCATGGTTTGCTGCTACGGGTTTATGTTATTATATTCACCTCCGGAGCTATCAAACCAGTCTTGTTTTTAAACTTTCCATTTGAGGGCATACAGACAGGCTGGAGATAAGACATAGTATAGATAGGAGTGAGCACTTCTGTTTTTTTTTTTATGAAGAACCACGGAAGAAACTCAGTTTATCTGATAGTTCCCACTGATAGGTTAAAACCATAAATTCTTCAAACAGGCGCAAAACACGGGGAAAAAATGACCACACTTTTGATCCAGAGGAAAGCAAGCTGCAATTGCGATATAACGACTTGACAACACAGTTTAAAACAAATATGCCTAAATAGGTTACCACTCCACATACTTCCTAGACAATGCATTGTATGCATTTTATATTACGGGTTTGACAGCCAAAAGACACAAGAATGTTTAGAAGAGCTTTGCTCATTTGTTATATTTTATTCTTGTAATAGAATAAAATGTCACATCCGGTCCTCAGAGAAGAAGCCAATGAAAACAATTGAGATGAAACTGAGGCGGGAATTTAGAAACCGTGGAGGAACAGCTGCGTCCTCCGCAAAACCTCTTTTGCAGGTGTTATTTTCCCCGGGAAGCTTTTGATAGTGTGGTATAACTACAGCCCAGGCCAGTTCGCATTGATCTCAATGTGTCTCCATCACCATTGTTGGTAAACTGTAAAATCACTTATTGCATTGTTTCGTCGCAGTAAATACCAACCGACTAATAAATACTTCGGTATCACACAAAGTTAACGACCGCACGAAGGCATCCACAAGCACTACATTTCCCATAGTGCCCTGGGATCCACTGGCCCTTACCAACAAAGAGGTTGGACCGTGTTACAGTACAATTTCACTATAAAAACGACCCTGCCAGGGAATTAAAGAGGGGAAATGGGAAGGATATTTTTTAAATAATGGCAGTTCTTACCTCATTTGTTTCTATTTACTTTTATAATAAATAGCCCTGTGCTAGGAATTAAGTCCGAGATCTTGCAATAAGTGAACATTAGATGGCGCTAAGACTACATATTAAGTGTAAAATAGTAATACACAGGTTTGGAAGTAAGTGCCGAACGTAATTAACTCATTAAAATAGTTTCGTCATATTCTGGTAAGATTTTATACGACATTGAAGTCATATTCATGGTTTTTACCATTTCATTAAGGATTTCTTGAAATCCAATTACCCTGCAGTGATTGGCGCAGGATACAATAAACCAGAAACACATGGGGATTATTCATCACTTTATTGTGAAAAAGGTGAAAAAACAAATCGTCACAGACTTGGTTCTTGAATGTGTAGAAAAAAGGCAGTTATTTTTTCCCATTTTAAACCAGTCTTCCCCTGTCCTACATCACTAATCACTAGCTACTGGAAAGGGTGCATGTGCAGCCACCATAACCCAAACAGGAATGTCTTCCGCTTGATACCACCCCACACAAAATAAACCACAGACAGTAACAGGCACACCAGGTGAACAACTGCTGCTAAAGACTTCAGTCATATCTACAAGGACCCTGAGAGGATGCTGATCGAGATCTGAGGTTGTACTTAATATAGACGAGCAGTCCGTTGGACAATCTGCCTCTAAACAGCATCAGATTCAGTGGTCAGAGGAAGACCTGATGGACTTCTGGGTCAGTAATACTTAGAAATCCTTTTGGTATAGTTTGAACAGACCTCTAGAAACAACAGTGTTCCTACAAGATGGATGGACACAGGTGCCAGAATGTTCATGAGGTAACAGAAATATTGTCAGCTGTTTTTCCATCCCTCTCCGTCTAAACACACACACAATTAAAGCTCATCTTTCATCTTCTTGCCATTGGGGTGTACCATCCTCCCAATGAAGAGGATGGACTTGCTCCGGTTGTCCTTCACGAGGAAGATGAATGGGTGATCGGCGTAGAACAGCTTGGGGTTCTTCATCCTCTCCGAGCTGTAGATGCTGGTGTTGAACGTGTTCCCCGGCGTGTCCCACTCCAAGGCGGAGACATGTAGAACGTTGGACAGATACAGGTCCTTCTTGCCCGAGATATTGGACAGGTCAGCCTTAGCTTTGTCCACAGCTTCTGTCAGGCCGAGCTCTCCGAGGTATTTCTGGATGAAGCAGGGACTGAGTCATTGTCCTAACTGAGACTCTCAACAACAAAAAGTGTTGGACATTTCCTGCACAGTCAACTACATTAGGAGAAACCCCTTTTATCTATAAGTGTAGGATTCACACACGGAGAAGATGGTCGATAGTCACATTGCAGACAAGTCAGTTTTTCTCAACCCAATTCCCCGGGGTCCCCAGACAGCCCACATTTTTGTTCCTTCCCAGCTCCCAATGCACCTGTATCAGGTATTCTGTGTTCTTAATTGGCCGGGAGCCTGGAGGGAGCAAAAACATGGACTGGGTGTCCACATGGACTGGGTTGAGAAACAGTAACCCAAGTGTCTTTTCTAAGGCTCAACACCCATTCATTTTTGTTGAGTACTGACCTTGGACTCACCCAGAAAGCAACCCTTCATGACACGTGATGGCAGGCAGAGGGGACAGGCGTACCTGTAGGTCGTGGCCGACTTCCAGGCTGACTTTGGGCAGAGACACGGCCATTGCCTTCTCCTCCTGTTTGCTCAGCCAGTCGTCCAGTTGCTTGCGAGTCAGCAGCTTCTCCAGCCTCTCCAAGGGCTCCATGTGGTACGGCATGATGATGATTAGGGTGGACATATTGTGGGCCAGGGGCATGCTCAGCACACAGAGCTTGTTGTCCTTATCCTCAAAGAAAGGATAGAGACCTGACAAGAAATTAGGATATTTATAGTGTAAATAGGCTCTAATCTGTATATACTAGAGTTGGATGTCTCGAGACCGGTCTTGGTCTCGAGACCACTTTTACGCTGTCTTGGTCTTGTCAGTCTCGACGGTCTATGGTCTTGGTCGTGTCTTGGTCTCGGATCCCTCGGTCTTGTCTTGGTTTCGCTGTCTTGGTCTTGTTGTCTCAGATCGACAAAGTTGGTGGGAGATTTGGAGCGAAAAGTATCCATGACACACAACGTAACGTTCGATAATGCAACATTATTATTATTATTTCGCCTTTCGCGCCCTTCAAATGCAACCAATCAATGACATACATGCATTTTGTTGTGATTCAGATGTTGGCGCTCATCCAATCAAAATACACGTTATATGCGCAAAATAAGTGTAGCGCTAGTTAAACGTTAACGTTAAATGTGTAATCACATGCCACTGCAGACATCAAGATGTCAGAATCTTTTAAGCACTTGTCCTTATTCTTATGAATGCACAATTTGATGTGCAGTTTGTATTGGTATATAGTATTTGTAGTTTGCATTTGATTAATGTGACGTGTGCACGTCTTTATATTGTTTGATTACAGTATTTTACTTAAAATGGTGTCGTTTGACTAAATAAATCTGACCATTGACTTTTAAATAACATCTGCATATCACGTTGTGTTGACTTAACAGGCCTAATCCATTTCAGGGACGTTGATATCATACAGTGTCATTTGGCTAGTACTACTACAATGGGACATGATGCAATTTCAAGTCTATAATTGTGTATCTTCAATTTGATGTTACAATTTCATCTACAAATTAAGTATAATTGAAATCAGTTACATATTTTTCCCATCCTTTAGACCACAGATGTCAAACTCCAGTTCTGGAGGGCCGGAGACCTGCACATTTTTGGAATTTCCCTCATTTAACACACCTGATTCAGGTCCTTGCACCTCCTTGTGCTAATTACCACATAGCTCTTGAGCTGAATCATTTGGGGTGGAACAGGGAAAGAACTAAGCTACACAGGGCTCCGCCCCCCCAGGACTGGAGTTTGACACCCCTGCTTTAGACAGTTGTTGGAGGTGTTAGCTGTTTTGTCAGATGACTTTGGGACCAGTCAGTACCCGTCATGTCAGTCCTCAACACTACACAAAAGTTAAGGGAGTCTCTTTTTTCCAGTCTCAGTCTCGGTCTTGGTCTTCGTCTCGTCTCGACTCTGTCTTGGTCTTGACTCGGTCTGTCTTGGTCTTAGTCTTGATCTCGTCTTGGTCTCGATACCCTCTGGTCTTGGTAGTGTCTTGGTCTTGGTTTATGCGGTCTTGACTACAAGTCTAGTATATATTGCTAACAACTGTACTCATAATTATGTGTTGGTCTTTAGATGAGTCCTTGTTTGCGGTGATAATGAGAATCACCTACCAACTTTGCCAAGGGAGGTTCACCCAAGGATCTATATTGCTCATGGGAGTTTTTCTTACACAAAAATATTCTGAGGGCAGAAGGAAAAATGACTGGTTCAAGGAAATTACAAATCAAATTTGTAGGTGAGTCCAAGCAACTAGAAGAAGTGGGACCAGCCAATCAGATGTTTTGGTCCCACCTCCTCTGCATTCCAATTGCCATGAGCATTCTAAATTTGCCATCTCTATGGATGTCCCGGAAGCGCAAATATGAATCCATGTCGTTGAGGAACTCACCTGTGCGGTGCATCATGGGAAGGGAAATAGTTAAAGAGTGATGCACCAGGAAGGTCCGGTCGTCAACCATCTTGTGGTGGAACTGCTCGTGCCAGTGGGCTGTGCAAAGGGATCAGTGTTAAAGGTGACAGTTAATAGCTGGTGCTGGGCATAGTCTGGTCGACCGTGTTGTCTTTCAGTTGCCTAACGTTGCAGCCCTCTGTGTTGAGGAATGACAGATTCCATGTGGCGCTGTAGTAGGAGATAGACTCACGTTTGAAAAACATGGCGTTGATGATCATGGCTCCGTCCGTCCTCTCCATGTCCTTGATGACCTCGGGCAGCTTCCCGCCGGTGGATTTGGACATCCACGTGTTGATGGACTTCATGGCGGTCTTCTTGTCGCGGAAGTTAATCTTGGAGTGCTCGACGTTGTAGAACTTCTTGCTGCTCTGGACGAAGCCGTCGGCGAAGCTGATGGAGGAGGGACCGTAGAGGCGGCTGCCCAGCTTCCAGGTGACGTTGCGGGCTGTGGAATTGCTGACGTCGGTGAGGAGCTCGGCCAGACCTGCATGCAGATGCTCATCTAGCACCTTGTCGGCCCCCAGCACCGCTTTGACCTGGGAGGGGGTGGACTCCTTGCCAGCCAGAGCTACCAGACCCAAGGTGGAGGCCACCACCACAGGTGAGATAAGGATGTTCTCCAGGTCCTTCTCCTTGGCCATGGTGTGGTAGAGGTTGAAGGCCAGGCTGGCGCTGTTGTCAGCCATGGTGGCAGCGTGGCTGCTGAGAGCCTTGTCCTCGCTGGAGGCAGCCATGACCAGGAGGCATAGAGTCACCACGGTCAGCATCAGCATGGTCTCAAGAAGTGCTACCTGGAATGAAACAAGTGTGACAATTATATCTTCTGTCTGAGCTGCTTACCTCCATATAGCTACCAGTTTCACAGATTTAGTTCCCCCCTGAACCAGAGAAAGTGTCTGTAGTATATCATGTGGCCCTAGCTGGGACTTGACCCAACAACCTCCTGTTAAATATCTTAAGTTCTGACCTTATGTCACCCTGGCAGGTATTAAGGTGCTGTGAGCAGCTTAGTCTGATGCATAATTAAACTGTAGGTGTGGTTATGAACTGGGGAATCTGGTACATCTACTGCAAATAAATGCAATCATTTTGGGCAGGGAGGAGACACACATTAGCAATGATATACTGTATGGAGTGTCTATAGAAAGCAATGTAATGTAGCAGCGCTGTGGTCTAGCAGCTGTGGGAAAGCATCCTGAAAGATAAACCCGGACGTTTTATGTAACAGCCACGTCAGTTGGTGAGGTAGGACAGCCCATCGCCCCCAGAACAGCGCCAGGAAGGGCCCCCGTAATCCGGCTTCGGTCTCATTTTAAGGTGGAGAGGTTGAAGGTTTTGATTTTAGCTGGCAAGTCGCGATCCTCGAATATTACGACCGCAGTCAAAGATTGACCCGATCTTCCCGTTACAGGTTTATATCAAAGGCGTGATATTTAACCCCGAGAGGCGCCTGCAACCGTGGCTCCGCAGACCCGCATGATTCTGCGCAGGTATAAGGCGTGTAAGGACAAGCCGCGCTCCTGTGCCGCTCAGCCGCCAGACTAAACAAGAACACAGGCCTTGAACATGTTTACGGTACTCAGCATCACGAACAAATATCTCCTCAAACACCCAGCCAAAATACGCATTCCTGGTCCTGAGATTCAAAGGAAGCCTTAGAAGATTTTAATCTACATTCCCAAAACTATTTGTGAAGGTGGTGCACAGAGCATTTCAAGTTTTATATAATGCAGCTACAAGTGAATGAATGAGGAAAGCATTTATTAATGTATGTGTAACTATAACCGATTTCATGCATTCATTCAGCCATCTTGATAGATCAGGGTAATTCAAAATAAAAGCACGCACGTACTACAATAATCATATGGAAAAAAGACTAATTTAAACGTTCAGATAGCTTTAAATATCCTTTTGCCCAACTAACCGTATATTTTGCCAGAGTCCAGTACAAATTTTTGACATGGGGTACAAACAAGGATTAATTCGCCACTCCCCAGGAAGGAAAAAGTTGGTATTCTGAATTTTTTGTGTTTTGTATATACCGAAGGTTAGTTTGAAGTTGAAGACTGAAGGCGACACACAGACTTACCATTAGGCACTATGCAATTAATGAGGGGGACCGTTATTTAATATTACCGTTAAACAGCTCAGTTTCATTTCCCCAGTCACCTCCCACTACTTACCATATTCAGGGTTTGCGCCCAGTTAACAGTTTCGTTTTTTTAATCCTAGCATCAAATCCCCGCATTATTAACAAATATGTTGTTTTTTCGCCACTTCAGCTGGCCCTTCATGACATTGAAAGGTAGAGGTGCCGTATTGGGGGGACAAGCCGCGCGCATATCACACCCTAAAAGTTCTTACCTTCCCCGGCTTCTGCGTCGCTTCCTCCGGCTTCCCTTCGGGACCTCTTGCAGACTGGCAGACCTTTCAGCGAGTCCTTTATACCCAACAAAAGAAACTTCTAGAAGTTGGGAACGAGTTAAAGCAACGAGAAGCCCCGTTGGGACCTGAGACCTCCCACGGTATCCAATTGCCAGTGCCGGTCCGGCTGCGTAGTCCTCCACGTCCCAAATCCCCGCCCCCAGCTCCCAAGCGGGACTAACCAGACCCCAGCGCCTCACTGCAGGAAGTGTGTAATCAAAAGGGAGACGCGGATGTGTCTTATTTTCCTTGCACCTGGTGAACAAAAAGTTAGGAAAACTTTATTACTAGTAAATGCTATCATTTCCCTTTTAAAATAATTTTTCGCACACTCGTTAAAGTGGCAGGATCCTAGATACATAATAAGAACATAAGAAATTTACAAACGAGAATAGGCCATTCGGCCCATCAAGCTCGTTTGGGTAGAACTTAACCAATAGCTCAGAGTTGTTAAAATATTATCTAGCTCTGATTTAAAGGAACCCAGGGTTTTATCTTGCACTACACTAAAAGGAAGACTATTCCATAATCTAATGACACGCTGTGTAATTAGCGCAAGTGCTTCTTCAAATCCATTTTAAAATGTTATCAGGAAATCCAGCAGCATCAGGGAACACAATCGTAACGAAAAGTCGTAAATAGTTTAAAGACACATCTGATAAATCTAAAACATATTTACTGCATTACCCGAGACGCTGTTGACATCCACACATTGCTCACAGCCTGGTACTACTTTGTTAAGGAGTTACAGACTGATAAACTGCCAACCTGAAACACGGTTAGATTTGTTGCTATGCGCAGGTGTCGATGAACTAGGCCTATGATAAATAATCTCGGTACATGTCAGTGAGTAAAAGACAAATGTTACACTAAGTATGGAACCAGAGATAGCCACACCTTGGGTTGAACGTCACTGCTCCACGAGGTAGTAGTGCACACGCACGTGCACAAGTCTTCGATCCGTAGAGAGAAATCGAATAACCAGGTGATGCTCAAAGGAATATGACACCATGTAAGACACAATCCCCCGCGTTCGATGCACATCATTTTACAGCTGTTATATACTCATATCCTTAATCTCAATTTTTATTGTCCATTTCGCGGTCACTTTATTTTTTATTGTTATTTTAGTTTATACTTATTGTTATTGTTTATACTTATTATCTTTTTATGCCGTTTTGTTTTGTTTGCATTACATAATTCATTTCAAATATAATTGTGGAAGCAGGTGCAAACACATGTCATGTCACTGTCCAAATGTACAGTGTATGTTTGTATTTCTGGAAAATGAGGCTTGAGACCTGGCAGCACCGGACACCATTTTAGAAGCATTTCATAACCAGTTAAACCATTACGGTTAAGCAGTTAACCCCCTGAATGCTGTGGACTTTCGACAGAGGCTGTCAGGCGATTGTGTTTTTGGCGAAAAATCAGCCACATGGTCAGCGAACCGTATAGCAGCAAATAAACGGAACCGGGAGACAAGGAAGCTCATATGCAGCCCCACAAGTGGCACTGAGGCAGGAGCTTGCACTGTGGCGGAATGCACCGGGTGCTGCGGTCGCATTACACTGTAATGCGCATTGAATCTGCGGAATCCAAAACATGTGGCACACATGACCGATGGAGCTGCAGATGAATGTAGATGTAGGCAAACAAAGTGAATTCATGCTTTTCCATAATGTCTCCCAAGCCTGTGGGTTATGTGGGTCATCGGGGCAACTGGGAGGAGCTGGGCCATGAGTGTGCTGGGGGGGGGGGNGGGGGGGGGGTGGATTATGGGACAGGAAGCATTTCCTGTAGAGACACATCCTGCCTCCCTTACACGGAACAGTAGCCACGGGCGGGAATGGACACCCACGCAGAACATCTGGTTTCCATGGGGACGTCTTCTGATTGGTCAGCCCGGCCTCTGCTAGCCAATCAGGCTATTTGGCATGGTTAGCACAGGCTACACAGCAGAGCAGAAGAAGGGTTCCGCGCTGAGGTACAACAGCAGCTCCATTCCAGAGAGTGGAACCATGCGGCAATAGCCTTCATGAACGCACCTGCAGAGGGGACCCAGGATGTCAATCACATGGAATAGTTATCCTGCGGACACTGGGGCTTGTGTCCTCTGCAGTTGCTCAAGAAGCTTTGTCCAATTTTGAGACTAACGTCCAATGGCAATCTTTTGACGTGCTGCCAAAGCAGCCCGAAGACAGATCCTTGCACCTTAAAAGCCTCTCATATTGACCCAGACATTAATAATCAACCCTTTTTTGGGGAACATTAACCCAGACATTAATAATCGACTTTTTTCTTTTTTTTTTTTTGGAGAACAGGTGTTTTCCTTCTTGATAAGGTTTGTCAGGTCATTGGTCAGGTCTGTGAGCTATGCTGAAGTTCACATCATGGATTAGGCCCAATCTGGGAGCAGCAGACTTTTCACTGGACTATTAGAATGGAATTAAGGACTGTTAATTCCCACAGTCAGGGGATGTAGGAGAGGGACAGAGCCCCCTCCCCCAGCATTCCAAGGAAGGCCTTGCTTCCCATGATGTAAGACTTTGAAATGCATTATGAACACTGGCTCAACGGGCCCCCCCTTAATGAACACACTACACCCGGTATCCTTCCCTTTGGCTGATCTATGGATCTATTTTTACATCCCTGATTATGACAAAGGGCCTAAAGTATTAATCCATCTGGAAATGTCAATGGTTCCAGAAAGTTTTAATAGGGAAAATATCTTGAAAAGAATGTCTCTGGTTACCGACAGGAGAAACAAGACTTCGAAAGAGAGGCAGAGTTATTGTGAGTCACCGCCAAGCTTAATTGATGTATTTTTAAAAATCTATTTTTCCTTAGTGTTGCTAACTATACCTTTTATCGACTGAATTGTATGTCTGACCATCGTGGCTACCACCTGGAATTCACATTCACCGCGCAGGGTGACTAATACCTAAATACAGCAATAGCATAATGTGAATTAATTAAAACCAATGATCAAACCAATCAATGTCCTTTAGTGAACAAAGTGCTTTGACAGAAGCGCTTTAAATCGCCCTCTGGTGGCCAAAATAAAAAGACTTTGTGCCATCTTACACATACTAATAGCAATATAAACGATTACTGTGTATATACGAGGGCACGTCATATATGTATGATGGCTATTTTCAGTAAGGTTTATATGGAGAGTTCTATACTGGGTGTACTCAAATTAACAAATAGGACTCCAGTAAATCCTTCCAGTTTTAATGGAAGCTGACGCAGATGATGCTCCAGCCCCCACCGTATCTCTGGTAGTCATGCTGCGAATAGACCGGTTAATTTACACTGGAGTGACATGACACCATCGGTTTCCTACTAGGTTTATGCGGCGGATGTCATTTCCTGTTTATTTAATTGGGTGATGCTTTAAGATGGTGTCTCTTCTGCATTCCGCAGCCTGCAGCTGCCATCCATTTATACAGCTGGGTATTTTACCGAAATGATTCGGCTTAAATACCAGCTACCGTTGGGCTACAAGGGTTTGTCTTTGACCACTGCGCCACCTACTGGCCCTAACTGTCAGTGACGGCAGCCCACTGAAACAGGTCTTTGCAGTTCTTAAGCCCGTGTCTCATAACTTTTCAAACCTGTCATTGCTGACTGTAAGTCCAGGATATTTCCTTTCCGTACAGGCGTCTTGATCTGACGAAGTGGACGAAAATGCAACGATAATGAGCAGGTTAATGTAATTAATAACACACAAGGGGGATGCGTGAGGGCGAACATGAACGATTACCGTGCAGATGCAGTGACAAGGCTTCTGCGTGAATCCCAGCGGACTCGTTTCGCTCAAAACGGAATAAAACAGCGTGCCCGTTAGAGCATCCTGCCCACACTGACACATTTTTCGTTTAAATATACAAAATCTCTTTTTTATCTGATCATAAACGGTTTATCTTAAAGCAGATATTATTTTTGAAGTAGCGGCTCTGTCTTTTTATACGTCGCTATGGTAACGCCACAAACAGCACCCCCTAAAAGTAAGAAGTTTTTATTTTAATCTAGAGACACTTCGGTTCCTTAGGGACTTGCAATGATTCGTGCCTTTGTAAAAACCTCATATGTTATAATAAAGGCGTTTTTAAAACTTCCGCTTCACGTAGCTTACAGATTTCACAGCCGCCCTTTTCGAAACGCCCCTTCTTTCTGGGGCATTATAGGGTACAAGAAACGTGATGTAAGGGAACATGCATAAATATGTACGCAACAAGAAATGGAAAGTACAATGTCGACGCACTTTTTGGGAATATGACCAGTTTTAGACTTTACATAGACCATCACACGGCCCTTAACATAAACTGCAGATTCAGGCTAATGGAAATGAAAGCTGCTGCTCTCTCATTTACCACACACAAGGACCCTGAAATATTAATACTGAAGCTTCCTCCTTAACTGGGCGGACACCCGGCTTTTTATTTATTTAAAGTAGCCAGCGCCAATTTAAAGGTCTTAAAGACACGCATCGAGTACGTTAATACGAATGCTTATGTTCTGATTTGTACGCCAGGTACTTTACAGCCGCCTCTCATATTAATCCTCTTAAATTCGGACGGACAAGACCGTTCCAGCCGAACAGGTCCGGTTCCGACTGAGAGCGGCGCTCAGACTGACGGGCAGCGCACCCCGCAGCGCAGGCAGGGCGGGGAATAAGGACAGCCGGCTCCCGGGCGGATCGAGCGCCCTTTAAATTGCTGCTTGCTCCTCGTAGTTATTAAACTGCAGGTTCTGGGGCTGTCAGCTGAATTTGTGAAAAAGATCAGAAGCGAAAAGGCTGGTGGATACGAGCCCGCTCAGCTATAATCCCACAGCAGTCCAGATAGTTTTTTTTTTTTTTTT